AGAGGGTTAAACCAGGCTACTCCTTGGAGGCAAGGATTCTGGGGCTTCGTCTGACATACTTTGGACATGTTGTAAGGAGAGACAGGTCCTTGGAGAAGGATATCATGCTTGGTAGGGTAGAGGGACAGCACAGGAGGGGAAGATCCTCTATGAGGTGGATTGATTCAGCATCTGGGGTAATCGGGATGGGAGTGTCAGAGGCAATGCGATTGGCACAGGATAGAGCAGGGTTTAGGGCTGTTGTACACAGGGTCGCTATGAGTTGCAAATGACTTGATGGCACATAACAACAACAACAAACCTTAAATATGGATAATTAAAAACTGTACACTTCTAACTCCAACTCCTTGCACATTTCATTTTAATATTTTACTTTGTCAACCCGTGCTGCCTTCTGAAATCTTCTATTCAACTCTATAGTATCTTGAATTCTTCCTTGTGCTTTGGCTTCTCTGTGCTCCAGTGCAATTTTCAGAGTCTCTTCTGACACCCATTTTAGTCTTCTCTTCCTTTTCTCTTTGCAATGACCGTTTGCACTCTACTTGGATGATACCCTTGATATCCTCCCACAACTCGTCTGGTCTTCACTCATTAGTGTTCAAGGCCTCAAACCTGTTCCTGAGATGGTTTGAAATTCAGGTGGGATAGACTTAGAGTCATATTTTGGTTCCCGTGGACTTGGTTTAATTTTCCTCAACTTCAGCTTGAACTTGCATATGAGTAATTGGTGGTCTGCTCCACAATCAGTTCCTGGCCTAGTTTTCACAGCTGATATTGAGCTTTGCCAGCGGTTCTTTCCGCAGATGTAATTGATCTGATTCCTATGCATACCATCACGTGAAATCCATGTATTACAATGAAATGTGCCAAGGAGCTGGAGTCAGAAAATCAAAAGGGCCAGACTTGCTCAGCATTTCTTAAGCTCAAGAAACTGAAGAACAAATTCAAACCTCGAGTTGCTATCATCAAGGATGCTTTCAGCAGAATATTAAATGAATATTAAATGAATATTAAAAGAAGATGAAAAGAATATACTGAGTCACTGTATCAAAAGGCACTAGCAGACACAGAAGAATTTCATGAAACAGCATATGAGCAAGAGCCTATGGTGATGAAAGAAATTCAGGCTGCTTTGAAGGAAAAGGCAAAAAAAAAGGCTCCAGGAATAGATGGTATACCAATTGACATATTTCAGCTAACAGATGCTGCCTTGGAAGTGCTCACCAAGTTGTGCCAAGAAGTCTTGAGAACAACAACTATGAGATATCATCTCATTCCAGTCAAAATAGCAAAATTTAACAGAAC